TGCGCAGCGTGGGTGTGGGAGGCTCCAGTTCCCCGAGGCCGTGCACCAGACAGTGGGGTCACCAAGGAGAGAGAAGCCGGGCTGGCAGCTGTAGCTCACGGACATGCCACTGGTGAAGTTTGCCCCGAGCTCTGCGCTGTGCGTGGCGTTGGCGATGACGGGAGGTGGAGGACAAGGCAGCGCTAACAGGGCAGGAGCAGAGAACGGTGTTTTAGTGATTTTACCTGCCAGAGGAGCACGTGTAACATGGCAGAAGGCTGTCACACCTGAAGTGATGTGAGTGTGGCAGAGAGCAACCTGAGGGCCCCCCCGGCGCAGGGATGGCCCTCAACATCCTCCATCTAAACCCCCAGGTGCCCATGCTCACCTGGCACACATCTGGGGACAGCGGGCACCCAGCGGCCATCGGGCTGGCACTTGGCTTCAGGGCTGCCCCGCAGCACATAGCCTGGGTGGCACTGGAAGGTGATGTTGGCCCCGGGATGGTACACAGCTCTTTGTCCTCCAGCCACTTCTCCATCCTGGATGCTGGGGCTTGTGCAGGTGATCACTGGAAATGAAAAGTGACAGAGCATGGGCTGGGGAAGCAGCTGCCAGGGCTGGGTGTTCCCGCTTTCATAGAATCATAGAATGGTTAGGATTGGAAGGGACCTTAAAGCTCATCCAGTTCCAACCCCCCTGCCATCAGCAGGGACACCTTCCACTAGACCAGGTTGCTCAAAGCCAAAACAAAACAAAACAAAAGTCATGCTTTGTGTTTACAAGGTCAGAATTCAGTGAAGGGCGTGTGACCACGATGGTCTCCCTCCTCTCTGTGGTAACAGCATTTACAGCTCACCTTCACACCGCGGGTAAGGGATGCTCCAGGTTCCAGATGTCAAACAAGAAACAGTTGTTTTCCCAGTGAGGACGTACCCCGGGTCACAGTAGTACTTCACTGATATTCCAGGGATGAACACTTTCATATCCTTGCTCTCATGCTGGCCATTTTTGATATTTGGAGGTGAAGGACACTGTAGCACTACCAGGAGGGGAAAAAGTCATAACTGGTGAAGAGCTGGTACCACAAACACCCCCTGTAGGGTGAGGCAGCCTTTTACCTTATTTCTTTCCCATTAATTTTTCCCAAATAGTTAGGGCTCTCTCTGTTTGGATTATGTTTCCATCCTGCCCTGACTTATCTTCAAACCTTCATGTTTTTTTAACTTATTGATATCAAGACTGATCATTTCTCACTATTTTAGGCTTTTACGGTGGTTCATTTCCATCTGTGGCCCTAACAGCTTGCTCTGGCCTTTCCATGGCTGTGTACGAGATTGGACACCAGCCTGGCTCTCTCTCTCTTTGTGGACTCATTTAAAGAGATGAAAGCCCTACATAACAAGGGTCTGAATGGGGTTATGAAAATGGGAGGAGAAATATGTCCATGTTTTTCCTTTCCAGCTCTGGAGAGTGGCCCCTTTACCTCCAACGTGAGGTAGTTGCACCCTACCAGGTGCACTCACACAGTGGTTCAGAAGAAATCAGCTGCCACCCACCATCTCATTTACACTTACTCTTTTCACAGATGGGGACAGGAGGGTCCCATATGCCCCCAAACTGGCACTGAGACTCTTGAGAGCCCTTCAAGGCATAACCAAAATCACATTCAAAGATAATGGTGTCTGCAAGTCTGTACATGGTCTCCAGCCCAGTCGTTCTTCCGTTCTCTATCTCTGGTCTTTTGCAGCCGGTTGCTGGAAGTGAAAAGCACAAGGAACTTCTGGGGACACGAAGCCCACCCT